CTGTCGCTCCTTGAACTGTGGGCAGTCCCGCTTCATGTGTCCCGGCTTTTTGCAGTAGTGACAGTTCCCCCTAAATCCGTTGCGCTGTGAGCCGTCACTGTTAACTGCACCAATCTCCATGGGCGACGGTCCGTCCCTCGATCGAGCGTCGTTGATCGGTCTGTTGTATCCCCTATCGCGATCGTCACGACCCCGTCGGCTTCGTACTGCGTCGACGCGTTCTGCTGCTGCGACTACTGACTCGAAGGTGGACAACCCGTGAATCGCAATAATCTCCGCTATGTCCGGCTTCAACCCTTCGAGGTAGCGATCGCGCATCTCTGCTTCCGTGATGTCGTCTATCTCGTTGCAGATGCTCAAGAACCGTCGTGTGTACTCCTGGACGTTTCCTATCTGTCGGAAATGACGCAGACGCTTCCTAGCAGCTTCGGAGGCATTCACCAAATCGAACCTACTTTTCAGCGCCGCTTCAAATCCTTCCCATGTCGTCGGAACCGTGGTAACACCCAAAGCTAAACTCCCTAAGCTCGAAGTTGCAGCTGCATGCCCCACGCCCTGTTGATGCCCGTCTAACTGAGCCCTCCGTACAGCAGTCTGCGTAAGTTGGCGCCACCACTCCAAGGCCGGGCCCCTCAGCAGCGTTACGGCGTACTCGATCCGCTGCTGCGCGTCCGCCTCTTGCACCCCGCTCGCGGCGAAGTAGTTGTTGAGCATGAAGAGCCACGTCCGCACGTTCGCGTCGCGTTGACTTGGGTCGAACGACTCGGGCTTCTGCGGCTTGAGTGCGCTTCGACGTTCCGGCAGCGCTTCCGCGCCAGTCGACGTGGTGGGTGCAGGAGTTGGTGCGGCAAGGCCATGGGGGTTAGAAGCCAAATTGCGAAGTTGTTGCATTTCGGCTCGTACCTGACGATTTTCGAACGTCAATTCTTCGAGTTGACGCATGAGCTCAGCAAGGGTGTTGCCCATGTCGTGGGGAAAAGCGATCATGGATTCGTCCATGTTCGCTCGACGACTCCAAGTCTGCAAGTCGGCACCGCGGGACGATGACGTCGTAGTCTCGTCGTCGACGGTCGCTCGTTGGAAGTCGCTCCCCGCGAAGGCTCTTGATACCAAGTGTTAGGCCCGCTGGCCTAAGTCCGCTAAAGAATTAGCGGGGTCGACTAAGTCGAGGATAAAGCGCGGCGGAAGACTTTGGCGAAAGAACTACTAGCGAAATAGGCGAAGGAGTTACTGAGTAATTGAAGAAGAGTTGAATGAGAATTGGTTGATAATGCCAAGTACAAGCAAGGTTGATATAGCATGCAAGAAACAAGGTTGGAAAGTGGATTGTGGGACCAAGAATTGTAGTGCAAGAAAAGTAGAGTGCCACGTGGCACTAGAGAATCTGAGAAGATAAGGATAAGGGTGACTTGGAAAGTACTGTTCAAAGTGAACAGTAAATCCCCCCTTAACAACGCTTGTGTCAAGGTGTACAGTTTGTGTTGGGAATGTGACGGGAAAGTCACTTCGCAAGTTACTGACGCTACCACTGTTTATGAGTCAGACTTTTTTTTGCGCGGCGAATGCAACCGCAAAGTTACGAAAGAGCCATTTTAAAGTTTTTTTTGGCACTTGCCTTTTCCGCGATGGTCTTTCGATGAATATTCCCCGTCCGTGACGCGCACGGCGTTTTATTACGTCCCCGGGTCAGGCGTTTGAGGCGCCTCGCCTCAAACGTCCTCTGTTCCGAGTTTGAAACGCCTCGAACGTCCTGTAGTCAGCTTTTGAGCGCCTTAAAGGTCCTCTGACACGCCTCTTGCGCCGGAGGGCAGCAATCTAAGGCTCTAAACACTTCTCTCGCCCGACGTTAGGGCTAATACCGCAGCACGCCATGATGGCATGATGCTAAATACGATGCAGGCGGGGCGTACTCATGCAGCCATTCCGTCCTGCCACCCTCCCCTCTCCCTCCACGGTCGTTTCAACCCCTTACCCACCTTCCACCTAGCGCCATCTTTGAAATTGACCATCACAACTGCCATCATCGCTGACCCACTCACGCACGCCCATCCATGTCTCTATTTTCTGCATGGCAGGGGCGGCCCTCCTAGCATTTGCGAGCGAGTTTGTCAACCAACCCGTCTACTTCAACTAGGGGGCATGGTCCAACGCCACCCTGCCGTGCCACCATGCCTTGAAGTGGATCTCATCTGATGCATATGCCCGAGTGATCAGCATGTTTGTAAGAAACGTTTTTCTCCAATTCCATCCTCTCATCCCTTCTCGGTTGGCCTAGAATCCCCGGCTCTAGGTTTCCGTGTTTTCACTGACCGATGCCATTACGCCATCACGCCATCACCCCGTAGCTTCCCTGAGCAGTGACATTAACAACCTTGCATTGGGTTCTGTGAATCCAGCATTTGCCCGTGGAAGCTCGTCTGGGGGGCCCAAGGGGCAGATTCAGTGAGGGTAGATGACGGCTCTGCAGCACCTGAAGAGGCTGCGGCCTGCCATTTTCAGCCTCTTCTTTTCCCAAGGAAATGTGAGTGCTCTCTTGTTCGGGTGCATCTAACCTCACAGGATCTGGCCTCGTTTCAGGCACCTCGTGGGAGTACTTTTCTAGGGTGGCTTGGGGGGAATATGGGGTGCTCACGATCTGACAATGGCTTGTCGAGCACTGTGTGCTGCCCTGTGCTGCCCTGTGCTGCCCTGTGCTGCCCTGTGCTGCGCTGTGCTGTGCTGCGCTGTGCTGTGCTGTGCTGCGCTGTGCTGCCCTGTGCTGCCTTGTGCTGCCCTGTGCTGCCTTGTGCTGCCCTGTGCTGCCTTGTGCTGCCCTGTGCTGCCTTGTGCTGCCCTGTGCTGCCCTGTGCTGTGCTGCGCTGTGCTGCGCTTTGCTGCGCTGTGCTGTGCTATGCTGCGCTGTGCTGTACTCCTCTATGCTGTGGTTTTTTTTTGTGTAATCATCCTACCAAGTGCCATAGTTGTACCTGGAAGTAATCTGCTCATTTGAAAACCAGTGTGTTCTGTGCCGTGACGCTGTGTTGAGGCAGCTGGTGGTCTGGTTATAGTCGTGGTTCAGGTGATTGCAGTGCCGGTTCCCCTTACGGCAGTCTGTTGACTTCCCTCCATACATATACTCTTACATATACTCAACCCCACCTTGTCCTCCTATCTGCACCCTCCCTCCCTACGACCACCTATTCTTTCCTCGTCGTCGCCCTCGCTGCTTCTTTTTTAAACAGGTGAACTCCATGTTGTCTTGTCCCCTCCCCACTGTCACACCTCCATCTGCCTCTTCCGCTCCCCAACTCCCCTGTGACCACCCCTTATCTCTACTACCTTGTCGTTCTTCCCTGTGCTGTGCTCGCCCTGCCTCTCTCCCCTACTCCTGCCCCCTCGCCCTCCCACTCCGCCCCTGCTGCTGCACCCCCACATATGCCTTGCAGCCCTCACCCTATGATCACGCCTTGTCTATTTCAACTCTTCCCTCCTTTGTCCCTCCCCGCCATGCAGGCGGACGGACTCCCTATCATGCCTCCGCTACTGAACCCCCATCTGTGCCTCCCAGTCCCTACCACCGCCTACGACCTACGGCCACCTATGTTCCATCTCACCTCGTCTGTCCTTCCCTGTCCTATTCCCCCTCCCTCCCTGCTTCACCCCAGGTGGGTGGACTCCTCTTCGTGTCCCCGCTGCCGCACCCCCTCCTGTGCCTTCCTGTCCGCATCTGCATGACCACCCCGTTTCCATCTGCCCTTGTCTGACCTTCCCTGTTTCTGCTTCTGTCCGCATCTGTATGACCACCCCGTTTCCATCTGCCCTTGTCTGTCCTTCCCTGTTTCTGCTTCTGTCCGCATCTGTATGACCACCCCGTTTCCATCTGCCCTTGTCTGTCCTTCCCTGTTTCTGCTTCTGTCCGCATCTGTATGACCACCCCGTTTCCATCTGCCCTTGTCTGTCCTTCCCTGTTTCTGCTTCTGTCCGCATCCGTATGACCACCCCGTTTCCATCTGCCCTTGTCTGACCTTCCCTGTTTCTGCTTCTGTCCGCATCTGTATGACCTGTTAGACTATCTCTCCTCTTGTAACCTGCATATATGCTATAGGATAGGCTAGAGTTAAGCACCCAAACTTAGTTTGGGTGTACAAGTTGGGGTATCCCAGTTTGTAGGTTGGAAACCCAACCTTGGTCCAATTATTGGACCCCAAAGGTTGGGTTGGGTAGAATTATTGGTCCCCTCCAATAATGTTGGCCCAACCCCAACTTGGCCAGCATTATAGGACCCCACCAATAATCTCCCAACCCAACTTCTTGGTTGGGGTCCAATAATGCTCACCTAGGCTAGTATCCAACTCACTCCCTATGTATACCCCCATCCTTCTCAATCCAATCATCAACTTCATTCCTAACTCTTCTTCTCACATGGTATAGAGCTTATATTCCTAGGCCTACTTCCCTCATCTCAAAGGCCCACCAGGCCGCCGCAACCCCCGGCCTCCTCCCTCATTTTTTTTCTTCTCTCGGCTATCCCGCCGCCCTCCTCCCTTTAGCGCCCTTTCCCTCCGCAGCTCCGCAGCCTCTCAAGCCGCTGCAGCCCGCGCCACTCCCTCCCGCGGCCTTGTCGCCGCCTCCGCGCTCGCCTCGCCGCGGCCTCGCCAGCCGCCGCCGTCTGCGCCACTCCGCGGCCTTGACGCCGTCTCCGCGCAAGTGCCGCCGCGGCCTCGTCAGCCGCTGCCGCCCGCGCCCCTCCCCTCCGCGGCCCCGACGCCGCCTCCGCGCTCGCCTCGCCGCGGCCTCGCCAGCCGCCGCCGCCCGCGCCACTCCGCGGCCTCGACGCCGCTTCCGCGCCAGCTTCGCCGCGGCCTCGCCAGCCGCTGCCGCCCGCGCCGCTCCCTTCCGCGGCCTCGACGCCGCCTCCGCGCCAACGTCGCCGCGGCCTCGCCAGCCGCTGCCGCCCGCGCTGCTCCCCTCCGCGGCCTCGACGCCGCCTCCGCGGCCTCGACACCGCCTCCGCGCCAACGTCACCGCGGCCTCGCCAGCCGCTGCCGCCCGCGCTGCTCCCCTCCGCGGCCTCGACGCCGCCTCCGCGCCAACGCCACCGCGGCCTCGCAAGCCGCCGCTGCCTGCGCCGCTCCCCTCCGCGGCCTCCACGCCGCTTCCACGCCCGACTCGCCGCGGCCTCGCCAGCCGCTGCCGCCTGCGCCGCTCCCTCCCGCGGCCTCGACGCCGCCTCCGCGCCAGCATCGCCGCGGCCTCGCCAGCCGCTGCTGCCCGCGCCGCTCCCCTCCGCGGCCCCGACGCCGCCTCCGCACCAGCGCCATCGCGGCCTCGCCAGCCGCCGCCGCCTGCGCCGCTCCCCTCCGCGGCCTCGACGCCGCTTCCGCGCCCGCCTCGCCGCGGCCTCGCCAGCCGCTGCCGCCTGCGCCGCTCCCTTCCGCGGCCTCGATGCCGCCTCCGCGCCAGCATTGCCGTGGCCTCGCCAGCCGCTGCCGCCCGCGCCGCTCCCCTCCGCGGCCTCTACGCCGCCTCCACGCCCGCTTCCCCGCAGCCTCGCCAGCCGCTGCCGCCCGCGCCGTTCTCCCCCTCCCCGCGGCCTCGACGCCGCCTTCGCGCCAACGCCGCCGCGGCCTCGCCAGCCGCCGCCGCCTGCGCCGCTCCCCTTCGCGGCCTCGACGCCGCCTCCACGCCAGCGCCGCCGCGGCCTCGCCAGCCTGCGCCGCTCGCCCTCCGCGGCCTCGACGCCGCCTCCGCGCCAGCATCGCCGCGGCCTCGCCAGCCGCTGCCGCCCGTGCCCCTACCCTCCGCGGCCTCGACGCCGCCTCCCCCCCCCCGCCCTTCCGTGACCGCTACGGGTCCACCCGCAGCCGTCCCTCATGGCTAACGCCACACCCTCCCCCTCCCCCCTCCCTCCTCCTATTTATACTTCCTCCATCGACAAACTACAGCTTGCCGCGGACAAATCCGCCGTCAACTGGCACTCATTCGTCGGCAGCATCTGACGTGTTCTCTCTGACGCATGGGTCCCCCCTTACCGCGTCCTTGATGTCGTCCTCCGCCGTCCCCATGCCTCCCCCACACCGAGCCTGACCACCCCGGCCAGACCCCTCCTCTCCCTCCCTCCCCTGGCGATCCTCCTCTTGAACCCGACCTCCAGCTCACCGCCGATCGAGCCACCGCTGATGCAGACTTCGTCTTACACCGCCGTGCATACCTTATCCGCAAAGCCGAGTACGATGCAGCAGTTGAGGCCTACGATCAGGCGGTTGCTTGCCGCAACGCTCACCTCGCCGTCGTCGCCAAATACAAAGACGACATGGCTGATTTCACCCCCAAACTTATCGCCAGCAGCAGCAGCGACAGAGGGCAACTGCCCACTCCTCACCCTTCCTCCTCCCCCGCATGCACACCCGCTCCCTTGATCCCATCCTTGGCACACCGCCCCCTCCCTCCCTCAACCAACTGGAGGACTCCCATGAGGAGTTCACCATGGTTCAGCGCCACACTCCCTCTCTCACCACGCTCTACCCTGGCCTCCTCGGCGCTCTACTCCTTAGCGCGATCTCCGCTCCCACCATCTTCGTCCCCTCCACCTTCCAGGAAGCTATCACCTGCCCTGACGCCGATAAGTGGATAGCCGCCATCTTCCAGGAATGTGAAGCATTCATCCGCAACGACTCCTTCGTCGACGTTCCCCTCCCTCCTGACGCCAACCTAGTCGAGGGCAAGTGGATCTTTCGAGTCAAGCAGCTGCCGGGAGAAGAACCAGTCTACAAAGCCCGCTACGTTGCCAAGGGGTTCACCCAGACCTGGGCTGAGGACTACTGGTTCACATTTGCCCCCACAGTCAAGCAGGCCACCCTCCGCACCCTTCTTGATATTGGTGCGCATGCCAACATGGAGATTGGCTCCATGGACGTCTCCAACGCGCTCCTGCAAGGCGAACTGCACGAGCGCATCTTCCTCCGCCGACCTGCCTCCCGGATTTCGTGCTGCCTTCCCCGACAACACCGTCTGGCAACTAAAGCGACCGGTCTACGGCTTGAAGCAGGCACCACGAGAATGGCATGCGAAGCTGTCTGCTACTCTCCAGTCCCTTGGCTTCTCTCCTTCCCTCTCCGATGCCAGCCTCTTCATCCGCTCTTCCCCCAGTCGCTTCTTCATCTCGGTCTACGTTGACGACATGATCCTGCTCGCTGACACCAGGGCCGACATGGATCAGGTGAAGCGGTCACTTCAGGAACGTCTCAAGTGCAAGGACCTTGGTCCGCTGCAGAACTACCTCGGCATGGCTATCACCGGCAATCGATCCGCCCGCACCATCACCCTCTCCCAGTCCCACTCCATCGGCCAGGTCCTGGAGAAGTTCGAGATGGCGCAGGCCAAACCGGTCTCTACCCCTCTCCCCTTCGGTCACCAGCTTGCGCCACCCACCTCCCCCTCCTCCACCTCCTCCTGGCCCTATGCCGAGCTTGTTGGGTCACTGATGTACGCAATGATGTGTACTCGTCCCGACCTCGCCTACCCAGTCAGCGTCCTTGCTCGGTTCGTCGGCTCCGGCCGCCACACTGAGGACCACTGGGCTGCTGCCAAGCGGGTCCTCCGCTATCTCCGGGACACCAAGGATCACGCTCTCACGTTGGGTGGACCTTCCCCTCCCCTTCTCTCTGGCTTCAGCGACTCCTCTTGGGTAGACTCTCAACCAGATCGCCGCTCCTCACAAGGCTATGGCTTCACGCTCGGTAGCGGGCTTATCAGCTGGCGTTCCACCCGCTCCTCCGCCATCGCCCTCTCATCGTGCAAAGCTGAGCTCTATGCTGGCACCATGGCCGCCCAGGAGTCCCGCTGGCTCTGCTTTCTTCTGGCCGAGCTCGGTGCCCCCCAGCGCTGTCCCACACTCTGGTGTGACAACGCTAGCACCATCCATCTCACCCAGGACCCCGTCTTTCATGGTCGTTCCAAGCACATTAAGCTCCGCTATTTCTTCATCCGCGAACTCGTCCACCAGAATCTCATCGCCGTTCGCAAGATCGCTGCTGAAGCCAACCTGGCTGATATCTTTACCAAAGCACTTCTTCGCCCTGCGCACTCTGCTCTTCTCCGCCTCATCGGCCTCGCTCCCCCAGGCGCGCCTTGATTCAGGGGTTGCTTCTCTCAAGCCTTTCCGCATCTCTGCAGGTTAAGGGGTTGTGTTAGAATATCTCTCCTCTTGTAACCTGCATATATGCTATAGGATAGGCTAGAGTTAAGCACCCAAACTTAGTTTGGGTGTACAAGTTGGGGTAACCCAGTTTGTAGGTTGGAAACCCAACCTTGGTCCAATTATTGGACCCCAAAGGTTGGGTTGGGTAGAATTATTGGTCCCCTCCAATAATGTTGGCCCAACCCCAACTTGGCCAGCATTAAAGGACCCCACCAATAATCTCCCAACCCAACTTCTTGGTTGGGGTCCAATAATGCTCACCTAGGCTAGTATCCAACTCACTCCCTATGTATACCCCCATCCTTCTCAATCCAATCATCAACTTCATTCCTAACTCTTCTTCTCACATGACCACCCCGTTTCCATCTGCCCTTGTCTGACCTTCCCTGTTTCTGCTTCTGTCCGCATCTGTATGACCACCCCGTTTCCATCTGCCCTTGTCTGACCTTCCCTGTTTCTGCTTCTGTCCGCATCTGTATGACCACCCCGTTTCCATCTGCCCTTGTCTGACCTTCCCTGTTTCTGCTTCTGTCCGCATCTGTATGACCACCCCGTTTCCATCTGCCCTTGTCTGACCTTCCCTGTTTCTGCTTCTGTCCGCATCTGTATGACCACCCCGTTTCCATCTGCCCTTGTCTGTCCTTCCCTGTCTCTGCTTCTGTCCGCATCTGTATGACCACCCCGTTTCCATCTGCCCTTGTCTGTCCTTCCCTGTCTCTGCTTCTGTCCGCATCTGTATGACCACCCCGTTTCCATCTGCCCTTGTCTGTCCTTCCCTGTCTCTGCTTCTGTCCGCATCTGTATGACCACCCCGTTTCCATCTGCCCTTGTCTGTCCTTCCCTGTCTCTGCTTCTGTCCGCATCTGTATGACCACCCCGTTTCCATCTGCCCTTGTCTGTCCTTCCCTGCCTCTGCTTCTGTCCGCATCTGTATGACCACCCCGTTTCCATCTGCCCTTGTCTGTCCTTCCCTGTTTCTGCTTCTGTCCGCATCTGTATGACCACCCCGTTTCCATCTGCCCTTGTCTGTCCTTCCCTGCTTCTGCTTCTGTCCGCATCTGTATGACCACCCCGTTTCCATCTGCCCTTGTCTGTCCTTCCCTGTTTCTGCTTCTGTCCGCATCTGTATGACCACCCCGTTTCCATCTGCCCTTGTCTGTCCTTCCTGTCTCTGCTTCTGTCCGCATCTGTATGACCACCCCGTTTCCATCTGCCCTTGTCTGTCCTTCCTGTTTCTGCTTCTGTCCGCATCTGTATGACCACCCCGTTTCCATCTGCCCTTGTCTGACCTTCCCTGTTTCTGCTTCTGTCCGCATCTGTATGACCACCCCGTTTCCATCTGCCCTTGTCTGTCCTTCCCTGTTTCTGCTTCTGTCCGCATCTGTATGACCACCCCGTTTCCATCTGCCCTTGTCTGTCCTTCCCTGTTTCTGCTTCTGTCCGCATCTGTATGACCACCCCGTTTCCATCTGCCCTTGTCTGACCTTCCCTGTTTCTGCTTCTGTCCGCAACTGTATGACCACCCCGTTTCCATCTGCCCTTGTCTGTCCTTCCCTGTTTCTGCTTCTGTCCGCATCCGTATGACCACCCCGTTTCCATCTGCCCTTGTCTGTCCTTCCCTGCCTCTGCTTCTGTCCGCATCTGTATGACCACCCCGTTTCCATCTGCCCTTGTCTGTCCTTCCCTGTTTCTGCTTCTGTCCGCATCTGTATGACCACCCCGTTTCCATCTGCCCTTGTCTGTCCTTCCCTGCTTCTGCTTCTGTCCGCATCTGTATGACCACCCCGTTTCCATCTGCCCTTGTCTGTCCTTCCCTGTTTCTGCTTCTGTCCGCATCTGTATGACCACCCCGTTTCCATCTGCCCTTGTCTGTCCTTCCTGTCTCTGCTTCTGTCCGCATCTGTATGACCACCCCGTTTCCATCTGCCCTTGTCTATCCTTCCTGTTTCTGCTTCTGTCCGCATCTGTATGACCACCCCGTTTCCATCTGCCCTTGTCTGACCTTCCCTGTTTCTGCTTCTGTCCGCATCTGTATGACCACCCCGTTTCCATCTGCCCTTGTCTGTCCTTCCCTGTTTCTGCTTCTGTCCGCATCTGTATGACCACCCCGTTTCCATCTGCCCTTGTCTGTCCTTCCCTGTTTCTGCTTCTGTCCGCATCTGTATGACCACCCCGTTTCCATCTGCCCTTGTCTGTCCTTCCCTGTTTCTGCTTCTGTCCGCATCTGTATGACCACCCCGTTTCCATATGCCCTTGTCTGTCCTTCCCTGTTTCTGCTTCTGTCCGCATCTGTATGACCACCCCGTTTCCATCTGCCCTTGTCTGTCCTTCCCTGTTTCTGCTTCTGTCCGCATCTGTATGACCACCCCGTTTCCATCTGCCCTTGTCTGACCTTCCCAGTTTCTGCTTCTGTCCGCATCTGTATGACCACCCCGTTTCCATCTGCCCTTGTCTGTCCTTCCCCGCTTCTGCTTCTGTCCGCATCTGTATGACCACCCCGTTTCCATCTGCCCTTGTCTGTCCTTCCCCGCTTCTGCTTCTGTCCGCATCTGTATGACC